TATATTACAGCAAGATAAAAAATACATTAAGCAGCTTTTAAACCAACCAATAACCATTTTAAAGGAACCAGTTTAATAAAAAGCAATTATTTTAATGGTTTTCTGAAATGTCAAGAAAATTTATATGTCCTTCTCTGTCATTTTTAAGAAGGCAGACAAATATTTTAAAGGAAACAAACATGCTAGTAATAATTTTAATAATAAATGTATAAGAAATTGATGTTATATTTAGATATATTTTTGCTAATGATCTTTGAATTGAATTGAATTGAATTGAATTTTATTATTTATATGCCGCCCTTCTCTGGGAGGACTCAGGGCGGCGAACAATTCAAAAGAGGGAAAAGGGAAACATAAAAACGAAATACAAATAATTAAAATAAGCAAGAGTCACACAACCATACAAGTCGAGAGGGGAGGGAACTCATCACCCCCAGGCCTGCCGGCAAAGCGAGGTTTTGACAGCTTTTTGGAAGGCCTGGAGAGAGGTGAGGGTCCGAATCCCTGTGGGGAGCTCATTCCAAAGGGCCGGAGCTGCCACAGAGAAGGCCCTCCCCCGGGTAGTAGCCAGATGGCATTGGCTAGTAGATGGAACCCGGAGGAGGCCAACCCTGTGAGATCTAATGGGTCTGTGGGAGGTAATTGGCAGCAGGCGGTCTCTCAAGTATCCAGATCCAATATCATGAAGGGCTTTATAAGTGAAGAGATTCTCAGTCATCCAGGTCATGGTTGTCCCAAAGGTGCTTTTTCAGGAGGCAACTTGGACTTTGTTTTTTTTTTTCTTTTGAAGATATTTTGCTTCTCATCCAAGAAGCTTCTTCAGCTCTGACAGGATAGTGGGGAATGGAAGGATTTATCATTCCTTGCCGACAGCTGGTAATCTGCATCCTTTTAGCGAGTCATTGAAGCACTTGGAGGTTTATCTGTGTCCTCAGGGTCACCTGAGTGGTGCTCCTGGTTCCTGTGGTCTACGGTTTTTCCTCTGGAAATCCATTCCTATTCTTACACCATTCAAAGGGTGTTCATTCCAAATTGTACAGCTAAAAGTCTAAAGTCTTGTACAGCTAAAATCCTTCCATTCCCCACTATCTTGTCAGAGCTAAAGAAGCTTCTTGGATGAGAAGTGAAACATCTTCAAAAGAAAAAAAAACAAGAAAGTCCATTTGCCTCCTGAAAAAGCACTGTTGGGCCATTTTTGCTAATGTTGTACATTCTTATAGCATGAAAATCTTCCGGTCTTCATAAATTCAGTTTACTATAAAAAACAGGTGGCAGAATATTGGATGGGAAAAAAACATCAAATGAAAGAGACCTCTGAGGTTTCTTTTACCTTTGTAGCAGCATGGTGAAGTGAAAATGAATACACCAGCTTATTACGTTCAGCAAATGTGCTTTTAAAACCATTGATTTTTTCCCTCATGTTGCACTTTGTTTGCCTCTACACCTTTTGAGACAGAAAAGCTACAGTATGTGCCAGATGTACGATGTTCTCTGCAGATATTTCTCAGAAGTGACGAGGAATAGATTTCAGTTAATCGTGTACTTTACTGTAGCAACATGACTAATGAGTGTTGCTAAGGGTTTGCTGCTCAGAATTGCCAAGCAAAATAGATCTTGCTGTAATTGCCTGAGATATGATGCAGAGGTGGGGTGTGGTAATAAACAAGTTTAAGAATCTAAATGTTGATGAAAGAAGGGATTCAAACTCAGCTCCCTACCAGAGATCTTGCTCATCTGTGATACCTTTCATCTTTTCATTTGAGATGATAAACCACACATTACAGGGCCGTTTTGGTCCATGTTTGTATTTTGGTCCTATCAGCAATAGGAGAGGTATGGTTTCCAGTTCATTCATCACCAGTTTGACAGGCGGAAGAGGAGGCTACTTTCAGTAGGGTTTGTCAGACACACACAGATAACTGACTCAGCAGGATTCATTCTTTATATATAATAACACATGAATAAATGTACAATACCAACAGCAGATTCTTCCAATGTGGTAGCAGTTACAAATAAGCACAAGGCACAGGAGGGATTGGTTTCCAGTTTCAATTCAGAGAGCAGACTAGATTAGTTCTCTTGCACAGACTCAGAGCTACCTAGATAACCCCGCCCAGGCTCCAAGCCATCTGGCATGAGTCTCAGTCACCAAATAGTTCCCATTGGGTGACCCAGTTGCCATACCAATACCTTGGCTGACCTTGTTACCATGTCCTATTCCAGCCAGTCCCCCAATGGCTGACCTGTTACTATGTCCTATTCCAGTTCATGAATATTCTGACAGGGTTTTTTAATAAGTTTATTTCGCTTCTTAATTTCTTTATGCTTTGTGACTTGCAGGATTCTATAAAATAGAATCCTGTGTTTAGATACCACACTTTGACATTGCTAAACTATTGTCAGAGGTTTGAAAGTGACGCCCTTTGGGCACTTTTAGTCACAATGGTCTAAAAGCTTGCCATTTTATTATTGATGTATGATTGCAGTCATTCTATTCTATCTCTGAGCTTTATCTCTAAGTATAAATCAAAGTTCCTGCACCTTTTCAGCTGTTTAGAATGCTGTGTGTTGACCAACAGCTTCCCTTTGCTTTCTGTTCAAAGATAATTTTTGTCTCTATTCAAATAATACTTAGGTTCATTTATTTTATAATGAAAATGTATCCCAAATATTAATTTGGCAAGGAGAATGTGAGTGGTTTTGTGAGTCCTGCAGTCACAGCATTTCTCTAAAGGAGGGGTCTTCAAATTACGGCCCACCGAAGCCATTAATCTGATCCATGCATGACCACGAGACTGCCCCACCCACATCGCCCCACCTGCCGGCCCCTACCCTTCGGCTGAGCGCAGGACTTACTTTCGCTTACCTGGTCTAAAGGCTAAATAGGAAAGTACATTGGGCTATACAGAGAACTAATATATTACTAATGTCACAAAAAGAGGAGGACAACGTATTCTCCAAAGCATCTGACAAGAAATGATGGATGGAAACTTGTCAACAAGAAATCCAATTTAAACTAAGAAGAAATTTTCTGACAGTGAGAACAATTAATTAGTGGAATGGCTTGCCTTCAGAAGTTATGATTGTTCTAACATTGGAGGAGGTTTTAAAGAAGATATTGGACAGCCATTTATTTGGAATGGTATAGGTCTACTGTTTGGGCAAGATTTCAGATTAGAAAACGTCCGGGGTCCCTTCCAACTCTGTTATTCTATACTCTGTATTCTTCTCTGGAATGGGATCCTGAACTTTTTTTTTTTTTTTTTGCTATAAATTCCCCATTTGTACCTACAGTGGTCCTCCAAAATGCACTTAAAACACTTGCAAAAAACCAGCAGGAAAGAAGCAGTTTAAAACAAAAGAGAGGGAGGGAGAAGGGCTCTCTCATTTTGCATATATATATCTCAGGGTTGAACTGTTTAGTGCTTGGAGTTCTCTGAGCTTACAGACATTCATTACTCAACTAGAGAATGTCATCAGTGCTTTAAACTGGGTTTTTAAGATTTTTGTTAACTATAATTATAATAGTGGCGCAGAGCCGAGGTGGCGCAACGGGTAGAGTGCAGTACTGCAGGCCACTTCAGCTGACTGCTATCTGCAGTTCAGCGGTTCAAATCTCACCGGCTCAGGGTTGACTCAGCCTTCCAGCCTTCCAAGGTGGGTAAAATGAGGACCCAGACTGTGACTCTGTAAACCGCTTAGAAAGGGCTGAAAGCCCTATGAAGCGGTATATAAGTCTAACTGCTATTGCTATTGCTAATGGTATATTAATCAAACAAAAATTTAGGAGTAAAGTAATATATTTCATAATGTAGCTTTTCCTAAAATTATGCATAATTGTTCCCTGTATTAAGCTGTACATTTATGTCATGAAGAAATCATAGATGACACTAATGTAAATTGGGAAAGCTCTTAATACAGATTAGTATCTCATTGAGCATTATAAGACATATGTTGAGTTATTTTCTGGAGGTCCATAATAAAACCTTTTAAAATGTGTTTTTTTCCATTTTTTTTCAGTTAATCGTAATAGTAATTTTCAAAGTGGGTGAAGTTATTTCTGAGTATGTAAGCTTATCGTGACGGTGATGCTAGCATGTAGATTACATATCCTAACCAAGATCATTTTACAAAGAGATGAGAACAGTGGTCGGTTGCCAATTTTTTTACTACTGGTTTGGGTGCTCTTCTGCGCATACGCAGAAGCATCCAGGTGGATGGGCGGAGCCTCCCGCTGTCACTACTACCGGTTTGCCCGATCCAGGCCAAACCAGAAGAAACCCATCTCTGGATGAGGAGTATCTGTTTATATTAGATTGTTAATTAATATTCTGCCTATATGTTAAAATCAGTGGTGATTTTGTTGAATGCAGAAAAGGCAGATACAGTGCAAGAGAAATTTTTGAAATAAGTCCTGCCTTGCATATAACAATCAGTGGAGTTGGACATGAATTGTTAATATACACCAATGGTATACAGGTAGTTCTTGACTTATGACCAATTGCTTATTGATACGATCAGCCCGGACACAAAAAGATGTTCAGTGAGTTACATAGAACAGATACAAATACCATTACTATTACAAGTAATGATAAAACATTTTGGGACAACAAAAGAGAGTGAAATCTGAACATCGTCTTTTACTGCCTTCATTATTCTAAAATAAAATATTTACTTCAGGGATTTTTTTTTACTCTTTCCTAACTTTTTTCATTTTAAAAAAATGGGGGGCTGAAGAACCCCAATGAATGAAAAATGAATATTTTCCACTTTTTTCTGTCCCTTCGCATTTCTAGCTGTAGAACACTTAGACATACTTTTACATTTAGTCAGTATTTGCTAAATACAGTGGGAATAAGCGTGTTCTGTGTCTGCAACAGCTCTGGTGTCTCTCATTTTAAATTATAAGTTATGACTTCTGATGGTTATAGAACTTTTAAAATGTGCAGGAGGAATGTGGTTTGTTATCAGTAGCTTGATTATCTATTTTTTCCCCTTAGGCGCAAAAAAATGAAAGAGAATCTATCAGGCAAAAACTGGCACTCGGAAGTTTCTTTGATGATGGCCCAGGAATTTATACAAGTTGTAGTAAAAGTGGCAAGCCAAGCCTTTCTTCTCGGTGAGTATTTGGCACATTTCCCGTTTTAACACATTTCAGCACGTAAGAGTTTAAAGCATGGTAGAGTCCATACCATAAAGCTTCAGCTTGTGCTTTGAGAAATCCATAATGTCGGCTTTGCGAAGCTATCCATATCAGGTATTTGAGCTCCATTTTTTGAGCATTTCCACTTCTTTCATTTCTGGTGGTATTTGTGGAACTGTGCAAATGTCATCTACGTCTTCACTTTGATAAATGTGAAGGTTTTCCAGACATCGGGTCTGACTTTCTTTAATATGTGTTGGAAAATATATGCCTTTCTATTCTTTTCCAGAAGCCATTTTGAGGTTGAGAGACAAGATATAAATATTTTAAAAATAATGTCAGTAGCATATTTTATTAATCATGCAATATTTAAAGCTCTAAAAATATTCAGAACATTAAGTCCTGATATAAATTGAATTCCCAACGTAGGTCGCAAGGCTTTTGACATTGTATTATTATATATTTGCTTTGCTGTGTAATCAATGATATTTAGGTTGTGATATAATAATGCAGGACGTGAAGAATTTACAAGGATTTTCTACTGTGGTGGACTTAATTCAATCTAATCCCATAAATAGCAATCTGGAGTCTTGATACAATTCTTGGGTGTGTTTTTTTCCTGTAACCACAAAATGTTGCAAGAAATCTTCCCCAGACACTACTGTCGAAGAGCTGTGTTCCCATCATCTAAATCTAAGTAGGTTGCATCTGCTTGAGAAAGATTCAAAGGATCAGTCAGGACCAGATGGTAACTTGTATAGGCTCTTACTATTCCAGGAAAGCTAGAATGTTTCTAGAGTTAAAACTAGATTTCTCCAAGATTCAGGGATTCCTCTAGAGCAGGGGTGTCAAACTCGATTTCATTCAGGGCAACATCAGGGTTATGTTTGACCTCGGGGGGAACTGGGGTGGGTGTGGCCAGGGTAGACATGGCCAGCGCAATATCACTTTTGTCGAGAGCACCAGTTGTGGCCAAGTGCTAAGGTAGGACTTTCCTCAGACCCTTCCTCCCTCTCATTATAATCTTGTTTCCTTCTCTTTCTCCTTTCCTGTCCCTTTTTGCATGATCAAATGCGAAAGGGGAAACATTTATCCCTTTGTTTTGTTTAAGTTTGTTATGCTAGCTGTCTGCCAGTCAAAACGGTGATCGGAGGTGAAGCTTTTGGCCTGGATGGCCTCCTGTAGCCTTCTGTCAGTGAAAATGGAGCTGGGGGACATGCGGGGGGGGCATGCTCCATTTTCGCTGGTAGAGGCACACGGGCCAGTTCTTTGTTGTTTCCACGATGGACCTGTGGGCCAGATCTAAGCATCCCACAGGCGGGATCCAGCCCACGGACCTTGAGTTTGACACTCTAGAGCAAGAAACCAAAAAGCAATTCAAGGATTATATTTTGTTTTATAATTTTCTGTTACTAAATGTTTACCCTTTATATTTGGCAGCTTCATATAATTAGCAAAAGCAGAAAGCATTTTAGATTGCAATTTTATACATATAATTGTGCCACAATGTGCTTGTGTTATTTATTTATTTACTTGCTTTTCTTTTAAAATAGATTATTAAAAATAGCTTGGAAGACTATTTTATGACTTTTTTTCTGCTGTCTTTCTACTTTTTAGGCTATTGTTGATTTGTGTTTTTAATGGGTATTTTTTTAATAACGCAGAGGTTTCAAAGCATATGAAAAACAAATATTTTAATAAGTAAATTATAAACCATGTTAAATACTCAGGCACAATTATTTGGGAGGGACATGTCTCCTTGCTTCTGAAACAAGTTCAGGTAGCAAGATGTTGGACAATATAGACAAGAATCCCAGTTCTGCTTTATGCTATTACAAAAAAACACTTGTATGTCATGGTATGAAAGTGCCAGACAAGATATTCTGTAATTGGCAGTATAATGGAACAATTAATTGAAGTGTAAAAGTTAGAGCTGATGATGTCCCCAAGTAAGTTTTAAATGGGGACTAGAAAAATACATGGAGACTAGATCTGTAAATGCTATTTCTCTTGCTAGTACCGTATAAGTATATACTTATACTTATACAGTACTATAAGTATAAGACACACCTTTTTTCCTCTAAAAAGAGGCTGAAAATCTGGGTGCGTCTTATACACCAAATACAGCATTTTTTTGCCTCCTGAAGGCCCGTCCCCTTCACCAAACTGACCGTGCATAGCCTTATGGAAGCTTTCAGAGAGCTCCTGGGGGCTGGGGAGAGCAGAAATGAGCGGAAAACCGGCTGGTTTTTGCTCAATTTTGTCTCCCAGCCGCCAGGAGCACTCTATAAGCCTGCATAAGGCTATGCATGCAATTTTTTGACAACAAAACAAAACGTTTTTGCTTGTTTTTGGGGGGCCCGCCCCGCCCCACCCAGAAGCCCTCTGCAAGCCTCCCCAAGACTATTCATGCCTTTAAAAACAGGCCGGTTTTTGTGAAAAACAGACCATTTTGGGGAGTTTGCAGAGTGCAAAAACTTTTTTTTTCCTTTCAGGAAGCTGTTTAGTTAGAGGGATTGATGAGAATTACATTGGTCAAGTGCTGTGCCAGCAGAAACAAAGTTTTAGGTGCTATAGGTTGTCAGCGATTTCCTTCTCCAACACATGGATAAATACACCTGGAAACTTCTACCTACCTACCTACTCTCTCTCTCTCTCTCTCTCTCTCTCTCTCTCCCTACCTACTGTATTTCTCTCTCCTCCCTCTACCTACCTACTCTCTCACATTCTCTCTCCCCCTACCTATCTACTGTATTTCTCTCTATTTTTCTTTATCCTTCTACCTACCAATCTACCTACACTCTCTCTCTCTCCCTACCTATCTACTGTATTTCTCTCTCTCTATTTCTCTCTCTCTCTATCCCTCTAACTATCTACCTAACTACTCTCTCCCTCTCCTTACCTACCTACTGTATTTTTCTCTCTTTCTTTCCCTCTCTCTCTCTACCTACCTACTTTTAAAAAAAAAAATTGCCTCTTCAAAACCTGGGTGCATCTTATACTTCGAAAAATATGGTGCCTCCAGAAACACAGCTTTAGGAAGAAAAAAAAACCAGAGAGTGGACCACGACCTCATTTCATCATTTCCTGATAGTTTCCTGATAGTGACTGTGTTATACAGAATGTCAAACTAGATGGGTTTTTAAAGGACTGATTCAAGAGGTGGACTTATTCAAAACTAATTGCTATTAAACTTTGAGTTTATTCCCAGGTAAATATAACTAGGACTATAGATAAGTCCTTAAATTGCCTTACTTCATACCTGGAATTAAGAATGTGCTTACACATTTGTCAGGGATATTATGCCTCACGCAAAAAAAAGTTACGAATTAGCCTATGGTATTTCCCTTTACAAACAATGCTAGAAGAAAGGGACAAACAGTTCCTGGGTATCTGTAATTTATGCCCTAAGGCTAAAATTTTAGATTTAATATCCATTGGAAACCTTGTTCAGCAGAAAAGGGCATAGCATAAAAATATGCATATAATTATTCATTATATATTACATATTAATAATGCATCCAAAGAAGCATTAAAGTAAATGGAAAGTAATATTTTACTCTCCTTTTGCATGAAGAGTAATACAAAATTAAATCTTGGGGTGAGGGGGGAGCTATCAAGGAATAATATAAATCAAAGCATATGCTTATTATGTCTTTGCTTGGTGATTACTTTCATTGTCTGTCGTATTTCAAGTTCTTAATGAAAGAATAAATTTGGAATAATTTTCCTATAAATTATGATTCCTACATGAATATTACATGTTTGCCTGGAAAAAGCATGCCTTTCTATGCAACCTATGGATCTGTGGCTGTAAATTGTACTTAATTGTTTTATGGCTTGACATCACACAATTCAGGATTTATTGTGACAAGGCTGAAGAGAAGTCCAGATATCCAGAAAGATAAGACCACAAAAAACACTTTTGTGGAGCAATTGTTTTGTAGTAGGCCAGCACCATGGAGTATTGAAATATGTCTTTTTAAAAAATGTTGCTTTATTTTTGCCTCCCATGCAAGTTAATAGTGTTTTAGCAGACCTGCTAAACCTGTGTGCCTCTATAAACACAAATAGATGTCTGATGGTTGAATTTTAAATGTACATCCTTTAATATGAATGTAGATTCCATCGCATCATAAATCAATGCTGCAAATTGCAGAAAGTACTACAGGCCATCTTGTGGCTGATCTCAGGAATGGTTTAAATTGGCTGAAGCATTTATGTATGTGTCTAAAAAAGAAGCGATTGTATTTTTTATTATTGCTACAGGTAAATAGTTTTCAGCACCATTGTAATTTCTACCTTCCTTGGGTCAAAATTAGGACAATATTTAACATTCCAGGTTTAGCTTATCTATGGCCTGGTGATGTATTTGATATGCTCATCTAGTAAATTATTTTAGTTTTCCTGGAGGTGCTTAAGGTCTCTTCATAACAGGCATGATTTTGGCATTTTACTTCCCTGCTTTTTCTCTCTAAATGTGTTGAACTTCAATTTCAGCGCTGATTGTAAAGCTGCAAGTTAAAATCTTTAAAAGGATTTAAAAGAAACCTTTAAAAGGAAATGTGCTTTACAATCAAAAGGATATTAAAATCAGTTTTTAAATTAACCTGGAAGCAGACTTTAAAAGCTTAACTCTTAATATTAGAATTACACCACTCGGACCATTAAGAATTATACATGTCATATTAGTTTTTCCCAGTTTATAAAACAGATTATAATAATTATATTATTATTGTAGATTATTGATAAATAAACATTTACATTTACAACTCATCATTTTTTTTCAGATTTCCCTTGAAACCAAACAGATTAGTCTTCTCATTGTTTGAAATCCCACATTATTTTATATTGCAGCTATGTTTCTGGTTATAAACATTTGTGCAGTATATTTTCCTCTTATTTTTATGTCTAAGTATTTAAGTCAGCATTCTTCCTTTTGATAAACACACATACTTAATCCTGTAAAACATCAGTGAATCCTGAAAATTCATTTTGTAATATGACATGAAAAAAATATTAATACATGGGAAACTACTCATATTTAGTTTAATCACTGTCTCGCTCACTGCTTTTTCCTACTTTTTAGAGTATGGTGTGTGGATTACTTTGTGGTGTGTGGACTTGACGATAAAATTTAAAAGTTCAAATGTTGCCTGTCCAATACCCATCTCTATCCAAGATGATAATTTTACAGAGCATGGTGACATTTATTCTAACTTCTTTCCCTGCATTTCAATTGCTGACTTCACCGTATTATAACTACAGATAGTCCTCGACTTACAACAGTTCACTTAATGACCATTCCAAGTTACAACAACACTAAAAAAAATGTGACATGACCTTTTTTTCACACTTAGGACTTCAGCAGCGTCCCCATGGTCATGTGATCAAAATTCAGAATGCTTGGCAATTGACTCCTATTTATGACTACTGCAGTATCCCAGGATCTTGTGACCACCTGTTGCAACCTTCTGTTAAGCAAAGTCGGTGGGAAAGCCGGACTCACCTTAACAACTGCAGTGATTCACTTAACAACAAAGAAAAGTCATAAAATGGGGCAAAACTCACTTAACAAATGTCTGACTTGGCAACATAAATTCTCGGCTCCATTGTGGCCATAAATCTAGAACTACTGTACTGATTCAGCTAGATATCTGGAAAAGATATAGTATCTACAACTAAAACTATAGATTTCAAACCAGTCTTAATGTGTATTTGATCAGTTGAATTTTGTATAATGATGAGTAGATTTAGTTAGACATATATTCATTTTTATGGTTTCTATATTTGTTAAATTTTTAACTTTTATAATTAGAAACTGTATTTTTCCTTCCTGTGCTGGCCTTTGCCTGTAATAAAGTTTTGATTTGATTTAATAATCATTGATAACAGATGTCAGGAAAAGGAATAATATCTGGAACTAAAAGTCTTTTGTTATAGATTTGTTCCTTAATAATTGTTCCAATCTAATCTTTTTAGCAATTTCTTATAAGTTTATCAGTCTCCAATTGGATTTTATTTAAATGTATGAGCAGTAATTATGTAGCTTTTGAGTATAAACATTTAAGATTAGAAATAATCCTGTTTAACTCCACTTTTAATCCACTTTGCAGTGATTAAATGCATCTCGTATCCCTGCAGAAAATGATAGCTATCACTTTTCCTCTTTCTTTTCAAGGTTACAGAGTGGGATGAATTTACAAATTTGTTTTGTCAATGACAGTGGAAGTGACAAAGATAGTGATGCTGATGACAGCAAGACTGAAACTAGTCTAGATACTCCTTTATCTCCTATGGTGAGTGTTGCTGTTGATCTGATAAGTACATGTAGATCCTTCAGAAACGTTGGGATGGGAAAACCACTTTCTTACATCATTGTTTTAATATACTTTTAATGCAATACGGTTTTTTTGGCAAACTAAGCACTGACTTTATTCGAGGCATTGGGGTATATTTAGTTTGAGCATGTAAAATCACGTTGCTTGGCTTTAGTGTCTTTTAAGATATATGAGCTTCAACTCCCACAGTTGCTTGCTAGAGAATTCTGGGTGTTAAAAGTCTACATATTTTAAAAGTGATTGAGAAATACCAGTATAAAAGATAACAAATATATATATATATATTTTAGTGGCATCAATTTTCACTGTAAATTACATGCATGGCAAGGACAGCTGCTCTTGAGTGGCCTGGTTTGTCCATAATCCAGTCCTAATAATGTTTTGAAACCGTAATGGGCAACAGAGAGGCCTTATACAGCTCTGTAAGCCAGGGATCCCCAACCAGGGGCCATGAGGGGTTTGCAACTGGGCCGCAAAAAAGGCTGCGAGCGAGCGCACATATATCCTCACTTGAACGAGCAGCAGTTGAGTGTATGTGTGCGCTCCATTTGCATGAGCAGTAAAAACGCATGTATGCCACTGACACAAATCGAGCTGTACACGTTTGCTGGCCACTTCCACAAACCATCCCCCCCCCCCTTCACCGCCAGTCCACAAAGCCAGAAATGTTGGGGAACTCTGCTCTAAACTAGAATAGAGATGTACAATATGCTGGATAAATTTGACTGACATTTAAGTATGTTAAATAATATTCAATACTTTTCCTTTATTATTAAATTTCTCAATAAAACATGGGACTTTCATTTTGGATGTGACTCCCATGTACTTCCTGGCCCTGTTGATTTTCTCTGATGTGGCCCTACCCACTGCAATCCATCACGAGTTATAAGATGAAGTGAATGCTATGGAAGAATGTAGTTCTAGCTATTCATTTATTTATGTGCTGCCTGATTCCCAGAACTGTAGGCAGCTTACAGATGGTTAAACTTTAAACACCTTGAACAAGAAAAGATCTTAAAGGAAGATAAACAATTCCTAAACAAAAACAGAACAAAGATGGCAGAGATAAAAAAAACTCAAACGAAGAAAAGGAGACTTGTTACCTCTTGCCAAAGATAACTTAGTGCATTTACATGAACATAAACACATATATAATAGTGCTGCTCACTTATATTAATTACATCAATTCATGGCTTGTGTATATATTGAGTAATTACAAAGTGAGGCAATCCCCTTTTTTTATATCAGTAGGTGCGATCTTGAAAGAGACGTGTTGATTTACATTTGCTTTGTTTTTTTAGAGCAAGCAGAGCTCTTCCTATTCTGACAGAGATACTACTGAGGAGGAATCTGAATCCTTGGATGATATGGATTTTCTCACAAGACAAAAGAAACTTCAAGCCGAAGCCAAAATGGCTCTGGCGATGGCAAAGCCAATGGCCAAAATGCAAGTAGAGGTGGAAAAACAGAATAGGAAAAAATCTCCAGTAGCTGATCTTGTATGTATCGCAAAAAAATTCATGCTTTTCATTTCCTTGCATTTTAGGGGTTACCCACTTTGTGGAGGGAAGCATTTATAAATTAAAGTGCATGGGTTGTTTTTGGTAGACCTAGAATATGTTTTTAAAAATAACGTACGGTTATTCTTCGAGTTACAGCCATTTGTTCAGCAGCCATTCATAGTTACAAAAGCACTGAATGGGAGAAACCTACAAGCAGTACACAATGTTGCAGCTCTTGCAAGTTTCCTGTAGTCATGTGATCACATTCAGGGCTCCTAGTAATCAGATTTCATGTGCAATGGTTACCATGCACTGTAGTCACACGATCACAATTTGTAACCTTCCCCGCCAGTTTCCCACAAGCAAAGGCAATGGGAAACCCAGCAAAGAAGATTACAAGTTATTCCTGTTAAATCTCTCCTGCTCCCTCAGTAGCCCTCACTTAATGATACACAATCCTCAGTTTAAAATGGCAATGGGGATTGCCAATGCTAAGCAGCATGGTCAAATGATGTTGTGTTTTATGACTACATAATTTAGTAATGGAAATATTGGTTCCAATTGCCGTTGTAATTCTAGAACCATCTGCATTTCACTTGTATTTCATATATCAGAATACAGTGGGACCTCGGGTGCCGACTGTAATCCGTTCCAGGATTTCGGTCAGCACCCGACTCGGTCATGACCAGAAGCAAGACTGACTGCGCATGCATGCACACAAAACAAACAGCACGGAAGGGGAAATTGCTGTGGCTGTTTATTCGGCACCCGAGGATGTGTTCGTGACATTAGTGAAACATTTAACAGATTTTTCAGTCGGCACCCGAATTGTTTGTGGTCTGAGCTGTTTGGGACCCGAGGTCCCATTGCGTCATAAATTTTCAGGTGATCATGGGGCACTGCACATATCCACAAATGTGGGCCAGTTGCTGAATGATGAAAATGCCTTCATGTAAGAAGGAGCAGACATTCAAATCCAGGTCATAAGTCTCTTTATCAGGGTACATGATAACTTTGAAAAATTCGCTAAGCAACACATTGTAAGTCAAAGACTACTTGTAGTAATGCTGGCCTTTTAGGTATCAAACAAAAGTGGTGAGACAAAGGGGATAATGAAGATAACATTTTCCAACCCTTCAAACTTGTCTTGCCCATGCCAGTTTTGCCATATTGGATGTTTATGTTTTACATTTTCCTGTTTCATAGAACAGATTCTCTTCCCTATCCAATCTAAAATTGTATGGTTCATTAAGTACAGTACCATAAGATTCCGCTGCAAGTGTGAATGGCATCAATATGCAGTTTTAGCATGCATGCCATAGATTCGCCATCACAGGCATAGGATTTCCTGCCTAAGCATGGTGTTGGATTAGAAGATCTCCAAGGCCCCTTCCAATTCTGTTACCCTATTCTATTCTATTATGCACTGGAGACAAATTCTTTGTGTGTCCTGTTAGGTAAGCTCCCCGTGAGGACAGCGAGTGTGTTCAGAGAAGCGTTGTGAGAGTTGTGTTGGAGAACACACAAACAGAGAGACTGCAGTTTAAATAGGCTTTTACTTTCGTGGAAATAGAGGTATCAGAGTCCATCAAACAGTCCAAGTCATACACGGATAAGACGGTCAGTCATCAATGTCTTTCAGTTAAGGGATAATCCAAATAACATAGTCCAGTATCATATAATCAGTTCAGTACTCAAAGTTTGCTAGCAGTTGCAAAACTTACAATAGCTCACGGCACTTTCTAACAGCCAGCTTCCAAAACACTCAGATCAGATCAGCCCAGCATCTAACAAATCAGAGAGCTAACAGTCATTCTGGCTCCCTATTATGGCCGATTGAGGAAAATAGCAAACAACCACATTTTACAGTATGATTTAAAGAAACAGGTACAGCATTGCTATATGATTTATATATTGCCAACCCAACCATTAGATTATATTCCTATCATGTCCAATCACACTTGGGCAATAAAGAATTCTATAAAACTATATATTCTGTACACTGGTAAAGAATCAAGAAATTATACAGGTAGTCCTTTGACTTATTATCACAACTGAGCCCAAAAATTATGTGGCTAAACAAAACAGTTGTTAAGTGAGTTTTGCCCCATTTTACAACCTTTCTTGCAACAGTTGCTACAAGTATTTAAATCATTGCAGTTGTTAAGTTAGTCACACGGTTATTAAGGGAATCTGGCTTCCCCATTGACGTGGCTTATTAGAAAGCCCAAAAGGTGATCATATGACCCCCGGGACATTTCAATCTTCATAAACCCATGCCAGTTGCCAAACTCCTGAATTGTGATCATGTGGCTATGGAGATGTAATGGTTGTAAGTGTGAAAAATAATCATAAATCATTTTCTTCAGTGCCATTGTAACTTTGAATGGTTACTAGATGAATGTTGTAAGTCAAGGATACATGTGCATTGTCCATGGCACATTAATATAATATTTTTAAAAATATCAATGTTACTGCTACTATTTTGACATAGGAAGTTGATTATTGCAAACAAAGAGTGTGCTGCTCAAACTAATGCATGCCTTAAATGTTTTAATGTTATTTTTAGCTGCCACATATGCCTCATATAAGTGAATGCTTGATGAAAAGAAGTTTAAAACCCACAGACCTGAGAGATATGACAATTGGGCAACTACAAGTGATAGTCAATGATCTACATTCACAGATAGAAAGTAAGTGGAAAATACTTCTTCTGCCTTTTTTCTTTGTCTAACTATTATTCACAGTATTTTAAGGTCAAAGTACTGTATATTAGGTTCCATGGGCCCCATGGCAAGATTATAATGATGTACTAGATAAGAATATATCTTATGATTGGACACCATGTGTCTACCAGTAGCCTGAGAACCAATTGTTATTTTGTAATTTGCATACAGACTTCCACAGGGTTCTTCAGCATCCCCAGCTGAATAAACTGACAATTAATAAATTGAGATTAATATTCTTACCTAAAGTGCAAGTTAATGGGATGATGGGAGACAGTGCAAGTGTCCCCAAACAAAACATGAATTCTAGGCTAGAAATACATTTGTTGTTTTTTTTCCCCAGTCCTGTATGAAAGAGCTTGGGGTTTTTTCTGGGAGTAAAAGACAATTTGGGGTCAAATTGAGCTTTTGGGTTGGATTAATGATTTGCCATTGTGTTCTTTCTGTCACTTTTATTTCCTACTCTGACCCTGAAGAATGGGTCAATTTGTCATGGAGAATTTGTTGCGTATGTTTTAATTTTGTATGTTTTAGTGCTACATGGTTTTCTTTCTTTCGTTGTTTGTTTTTATCTGGTATGCCCAGAGACACATTGTTTGGGCTGGGCAGCAAATAAATAAATAAATAAACAAGCAAGCAAGCAAGCATTCACCTCCTGGTGATGCTGCAACTTGCCAACATTAGTTATAGTCCTGACACATACGTATGGAGGACAACAGGTTGGCAAACACTGTGAGGCCTTTATCTAATTAGAGAGTGAAGAATTCATTTTAGTTGTTTTCTTCTAACATGACATCAGTAGCTGTTATGGTAAGAACAATAGCTGCTTTCATGTATCAGTAGAGCCAGGGCTGCATCTTACATCAGTCTTTCCTATCATGTGATGCTCCAGATGGGTTGGCATTAAAACACAAGACATTTAGTCCCAACACAATTAGAGGGCATGACCTCTTAGATAATGCAGCTTCTGGCCTTGGCAATCTGCTGATGGCAAATGCAGCTTTAGTCCCTTAGATATCCAGTCGTGAGGATTTTCCATCAGTTCGTTCAGTTGAGGAAAGGCCAGATGTTCCATAGACTGCCTGTCAACTTAACATTTTAAGATTCTGTGCGGCTTCTAAAATTTGTCCTTGATTATCCCATGAGACCTGCAACAGTATTATTTCAATATTTTGCTACCTGCTATTCCTAAAACATGACTTCAGATCCTTCCTAATTTATATGCAAGCCAAAAAACTAATGGAAACCATTATATTGTTTTGGAAGGAGATATCAAACGTCTGTCTCACAGTGGCTAAAAGTATCCAAAATGTTAGAAAAGAATTAATTAAATTCCATTTCCCCCCCCCCTTTTTTTTTTTCAAAATCAGGCTTGAATGAAGAATTGGTGCAACTGCTGCTTATTCGAGATGAATTGCACACAGAGCAGGATGCAATGCTGGTAGACATTGAAGATTTGACCAGGTTAGTATCACTGTCTATTAAGTTCTGTTGATAAGGCCTATATGAAAACCATTTGATGGGGCAATGACCTGTCACTGCTACCTTGGGTGGGAGGAAATGTTCTGAATTCCTCAAACTATTGTCTCATCAACTCTTGGATCATATCCCAAAAGTTGTACAAAAAATCTCTAAGACCTATGAGTTCCCAGGTTGAAATGGCTTATTTTTTAGGACTACACAACAGTGGCGTTCACAGCAAGCCAAGATTTCATCAAAATGATGAACCCTGCACCATGATGCTATCACATGTCATGCTTATTTGGCTCCTTGCTTCTATTTTATTTTACAAACCAATATCATAAAGTAACATGCAGTGGCTTTATTTCTCCAGAATTCTTATTCAGGGCAGATGCTGAATAAATAAAATGGGAAGGAATAATTTCCAGGGGAGAGAGGGGTTAATTTTAAAAAAAAAACTTCTCTTTCTTTAAGCTGCAATGCTTAACCTTCAGTTCATACCAAACAAATTTGGCTGAAGCACGCAACCAAAAAAACCCTCCTGCCATTTCTCCTCGGATAGAAAATGGTGTTTGGATAAATAACCTGCCCTCTTTTCTCCTGGAATGAATGTTTAGAACATTGAAAACTAATCTGGTTTGGGAAAGAGTGTCATTACTGTTGGTAGGGTTTTTGATTCTGGGTTGGTTGGTTCATTTTGCTACTTTATTTTTAACCAGACTAGTACTTGATTTTGTGTTGATTTTATGCGGGTGGCTTTTTCCTTTAAAATCAGAAGATGATTTTGCCGATCAAACAATTGATTGTTTGATTTAGATTTCTCTATCTGGTTATTAATGGAGCTTCTTGAACCATTGAATCAATGTGTCACTTAGAATACAACACTTTGTATTTTCTCTAGTTGCTTCTAGTGTGATAGTTCTGTCAGTTTCTGTCTCTCCTTTGCTTTGGGAAGATCTTGTTGCCAGGGAAATAGTAAAAGTTGTCAGAGAATTGCTTCCAGCGCAGGTATAGCCACTTCTTTATTTAGAGTCTGTTTTGAGATGTTCATCTTAACTAGAATGCCAAATGTTGTTGGTTTATTCTTCTTCCACATCATTTTCTCAATAAACTAGCTATTGTTTTTTCCCCCCACTAACTTTGCTACATCTTGCTAAGGGCTCTTTACCACAGCTGCATTAATATGCATTCTCGAGTTGTTAGAAAAGTGTGTTATTATACTTCTGCTGCCTGGACTGTTAAACTCTAATCTGTGCAATATTGGGGATTGCAATTTATCAAGTTATTCCATTTTTATCCCGAGACAATTTTATGTATTTATTTTTATTTAGTTTGTCAAAGATATAAAAAATAACAGGTATAAGTATAAACATAAATATGAGTACAAATAAATGGAGACAATAGGACAGGGACGGTAGACACGCTGGTGCGCTTATGCACACCCCTTACAGACTTCTTAGGAATGGGGTGAGGTCAAGAGTGGACAGTCTTAGGCTAAAATTATGGGGGTTTGTGGATTTAAGAGTTATTTATGTTATTTATAAGTTATTTAGTTATTTATGGATTTATGAGTTATTTATGGGTTTGTGGTTTATGAGCAGCAATTAGAAGGATCCCTTAACATTGCGTCTCCTCCCAACCAGCTTCTCCAGGGCTTCTCCAGTCACTCTCCTGGAGATGTGGAAGACAGGCTCGAGGAAGTGTAGTGGGTGCCTAGGATGAAGGCTTTAGCTGCCTCTTGGTTAGCTGAAGTGATGAGTCAGAGTCATCCAGTGTGACTCAGATTTGCAGAAGCAAGTCTTCCTTTTAACAATCCATGTGCCTAGGAACTGTGTAAAGTTCTGAAGAACTGCTTTAAAAAGCCAGAACTTAAAACCCAGGCTGTTTCTAATCATGGTTTTTTAGTGTCTTGGCTGCCAGGTCAATAGAGCAAAAGAGTAGTGCAGTGTGAAGCAAGTTACACAAGCTATGGTTACACATACCAAAAAGAGCTCCATCCACTTTATCTGAGGTTCATCATCTACCTTTTCAGTCAGTCAGCTGGGCTATTTTTGGACACCAGTTTTCTGAGCTTCCTTTTGCTTGGGCCCAAAGAAGAAACTGAGAACTCTTTGTGAATTTCACCCCAGTATATCCCAAATATACCAAAGGAATAAGTGCTGCAAGAGAGAGCGGTGCTATCAGTCAATAGCTGTGATCGGTGGCAACCAGAAATATATCAAAGGACAGGCCTGCGGTGCCTCTGCTGGCCAGAACGGGCTGCATGCATCCCATCCCCCCCCCCGCAGGCCATTTGTGGCCTCCACAGCTTCCTGCAACACTCTGCCAGCCAAAAACGGGTCACACAGAGACCTCCCAAAGCCCCCCTCTACCATGTTTTGGCTGGTAAAGTGCTACAGGAGACCGTTCAGGGGCATCCCCTCCATGTCCTACTTTGGCCGACAGAGTGCTGCAGGAGGCATCTGTCCCATCTCCCTCTCCTGCTCCCCCCCCCATTGGCCCACAGAAAATTACAATGCTGATCCGCCCCTCAAAGAAATCCAGTTTGACACCCCTGATTTAGATCCTTTTGCATTAAGTTGGGAATAACACGTAGGCTGCCTTAAGAGGGCATAACTCTAAAAACAGTGGGTCATCTATGCCATAGGTAACAGGACTTGAGGATGAACCCTAAATCATCTTTTTAAAAAGATCATGTAGTTCCGTTGTTTCCTACTTCTTGCTTCATGGGATAGTTGACATATATTTACTAATGAATTTGACATCCAACCAGAAGGCTTCTGTTAATTATTTAAAGAATGGAACCATGGTTGGCCATTAAAAATGACTTTGTACTTTTTGACTTGAGGGAGAAAAATCAGTCAAAATAGCCTGGAAGATCAATGGCGTTAAGTTTCTGAATGTAGCTTTATCTCCCCCCCCCCCACCTTCTGAGTTGATTAAAGAGGAAAGCTCAAGTAATAGCACCAAGATGTATTTATCAACGAATCAAATAAATAAGAGGATATAATTTTGGGGGGGTGGGTGCTGTAGATATGATAGGGAAGTTTACAAATTATATTATTCAAAATACATCTTGCGTTTCTGTGATTAATTAATAGTTTTTTGCCAATAGATGCATACAATGACTTGAAATTGATTAATTTTGCTCTGGCTGAATTTTTCACCTCAACTTTTAATAGATTTTAATTCTAAAAAAGAAGAATTAATCATCTATAAACCAAGACTTAACTCTGAGCCAAAGCAAACCCAACTGTTTTTTTTCTGAAATATTTCTCTTACAGTGTGGCCCCCTATCAATGCCATGATAATTTAGCACCATTGCTACAGACAAGGTAAAATATAATGAAAAGCTCTGTTTATCCAGATCTCTCTAATCCGTCCCCTCCTCATGCAATATTCACCCTCTTTTCCCCTTTTGTAAACCCTTTGTTGTCCTTTGCTCCAATTACTTTCATGTTTCCCAGATTGTCTCATTAAGAAAGTCTCTAGTAATTTCACAGCAAAATATGCTAGTCTGCCTTTCTTTTAACTTTCTTACATGTAATGTTGTGTGTTCTACCACTGATCTAACATCTTCAAAATTCCATGAAATTAAATTCACACAGTATCTTCAGTGCTTATTTATGATGTCATGCCATGGATTATTCAACCACATGATCTTTTTGATGGAGCCAATGTTTAGATTGTAAACAATCTAAATTAATAATAATTTAGGGGTAATTTAGAGATTACTAATTTGACAAATGCATTTAGATCGCCCCTTGTTCTCTCAAACGCACACACACCCGCCCTTCCAAATATTTCTAGCCAAATAATTTTATACATAGTAGCCTGAGAACTTAGGAAGTTTTGAACCTTAAGTTTCATAAAGATCTGAAGGATTTTGAGTGAAAAATCACTTCAAATTGTGAAGAAAGACGCATCCTATTTTAATCCAAAAGCTTTTCAAATATATAATTTCCAAAGTTCTCAAAACTTTGGGCTGATGTGTTTTAATTGTGAATATTGAAAAAAAATGAAATATAGATTTATTTCGATTCATCAAGACATTCATTATGAAGTTGAATCCATCTGAACTCAGTCAATACTTGCAAGGGCACATTTTATAGGCAATGAAATGTCTAAGCTAGTTTTTACCAATTTTTGAAGTGTCCTTCAAAGTTGTTGAAACTGCAGCTCTCCTAATATGCATAGTCAGGATATCTGAGAATCATAATAGAAATATAACCAGAAGAATGCCAGGTTAGAGATGAACGACTGAAGCATATTAATGTTTCATGTCTTTTTGAGCCTTATCGGTAAAATACGGTGAGTACACATCATATTCTCTCGGCAATTTTTGCAGCACTTAATCATTGAATGGTCCTCATCCATAGGCTTCTGGAAAGATTAAACTGCACTGTTTCAACATTGAGTATTTTCATTAACATGTTTGTAGTTTTTATTATAATAGTAATGCATTCTTCATTATGGGTTTTCCTGAAGTTGAAGAAAGAGTCAGATACATAGTAAGAAAGGGAATGGATAGCACCTACAGAAATAATTGCATGCCCTCTATGGACAAAATTAGGAAATGCATTTTTGCTCAGCGATAAAAACACATGTGGCTACAAAGAACAAAACTGGACAGACATTAAGCATATCACTGGAAATATTTTAATGGTTTGTAGCAAATATCAAGTTCTAAGATTTTACTTTTAAAAGAACAGCTGCATGGAAAGAGTTGTTTAACTATTTCCTTGTTACAATCTCAATAGAATTGCCCTTTTATTCCTTATAGCTTCTGGAAAAAAAGCAACTTCCCACTAGAGAGTTAAAATTTAGATGGCAATTGCTACTATGTAAATTAAGACAAAGGCTATATAACTTTATAATGACGCCTTTTTCTCTTGTCTTGTTTGGATCTGAAAGTGTAACCTATTCAAAGATTATGGACAAAAATGATAAAGGAGCATTTATATAGACATCTACATCTATACCAGTGGCGGTGAACATATGGTACATGTGCCAGAGATGGCACACAGAGCCCTCTTTGTGGGCACACGCACAGCCATCCCAACTCTGTTTCAGGTTTCTGCCAACCAGCCAGCTGGTCTTCAGGTCTCTGCTGTGCATGCATGGTATGCGCACCCATGCATGGGCCACGCACCTTGCTGTTTGGACGTACATGCACACTTTGGGCACTCGGTGCCTAAAAGGTTCATCAACACTGGTCTATACTCTAGTAGCATCTATTACTCCCTGTTGAATCTGGAAGGTTGCAGGAGAGATATTTATTCACAATTGCTTAAATGGCAGTAAGTCTCTTTGAAACTCTGCTCTTATAGAAACTCAGTATGGCAAAACTGGAAGCTTAGAAGCAGAGTCCATGCATATTCTCAATTCATCCAGGCCATGGTTATCCCAAGGTGATTTTTCTAAAAGGCAACTGGACTTTCTTGGTATTTTCTTTGCAAATGTTTTGTTTCTCAGCCAAGAAGCTTCTTCTCTTCAACTGAAGAAGCCTCATCTTCAGTTCAATTGAAGATGCTTCTTGGATGAGAAGCAAAACATTTTCAGAGAAAACACCAAGAAAGTTCAGTTGTCCTTTGGGGAAAAAAACACATTTAAGACTTAGAAACACAGGTGCCTAGCAAGGTACTGGTTGACTAAGCAGGTCGGGGAAGCTAACATTATTAGGCCACAAGTTATTAAAGCATCAGATTTGTGAGCTGGAACACTTAATCTAGTGTTTAAGTGTCGCTTAAAATGATTAGATAATAGGGAGTGGAAGAGACCTTTTCCTGATGTTTTTGGCAGCTGCAATATTTTAATAAATAAATATGAAAATAATTGTCCAATTTGATTTAATCTTGCAAATTGTTTCCTAAAAATTAGCTGAAAAAGATGTAAAACATCCAAACTCAACAATATATCAAAATCTTAGATAAAGCTATGAATACAGGTAGTGCTAAATTAACAACTGGTCACTTAGCAGAGTACTTCTGACTTGGATTTGAAGGTCTGATGGTAGTGGGAACCATGGTCACTCCCCCCGACTGCATTTTTGGCATTTGGCAACTGGGCTGCATTTATGACCATTTCCTGCAGTCACATGATCACATTTTATGATAGTTTTGCCAAAGTTTACTTCTGGTTTTTAGAAAAACTGTGCCCATGGCAATTCATCCATTTCCTTTACAGCTGCAGTCATTCACTTCGTCACCACCATCACAAAAAGGGTCATAAAGTCAAGTTGGTCATATGACCAACTCACTTTACAATTGGCACAAGTTACAATTGTGATAGGCAGATTCCATTACTGTTCTACCTAAAGCAGGGGTGTCACACTCAAGGTCCATGGGGTGGATTTGGGTCGCAGGGTGCTTAAATCTGGCCCATGGGAGCGGCCTGAAAATAGCAAAGGACTGTCCTGCAGTGCTTCTGGCAATCAAAACGGGGGCTGGGGGGGGCTTGTAGCCTGAAAAGCCTCCTGCAAAACTCTGCCAGCCAAAACAGGGTGCGGGCATCCCCATGCCCTGTTTTGGCCGGCAGAGTGTTGCAGAAGGTGTCCATCCTGTCCGTCCCCCCCACCCGCGGAGAACTATAGTGCTGATCCGGCCCTTGAAGAAATCCAGTTTGACACCCCTTGACCTAAAGCACTACCTGTAATGTATGTTTCTTATCTGTCCTCCCTCCAACATGAGCAAAATGTGACTGCAATAAGGAGTACATCTGCACAAGTATGTCTAATAGTATGCCTCTTGACACTATTCCCAAATGTTTGGCTTCCCTTATGGCTATGCCCATAACTACAATCCAGCAGCATAGGAGTGTGAATCCCTGATTCATGACATATTTTGAGATCAAATCAGGATACGTTATTGCCAGTACTAGCATACAAAATGTATATTACTCATACATTTTTAAGCAATACATACGCAATACAGTTTTATCATCGGTATCTTTGAACACACTTCCCAAACCGATAACAAAACATTCTGGATTTCCAAAGCATGGTGGGTGGATGTAGACAGATAATAGAAAATACATTTTTCTTATCAGCTACATTTCCAAAATAATCAAATGAGTAATATGTAGCTGTGATAAGGAGTATCAGTTCAATTATGGTAGGAGGATGCTTCCTGACACAATTTCTAAATATTTGGCTTGGGCCAAACTTGATTATTGGGGAGCTGCTCCTTTAAAAAGAGTGCAGAATGCAGCCTTAAGCTACAGTTGTATGTTTTCCAATATGGTGTAAGGGTTCATGTGTTTTCCAGACAGTTAAAGCTCTAAAGCAATGTTTCCTAAACTTTAAGGAGTGTAGACTTAAACTCCCAGAATTCTCCAGCCAACATCAGACTTAATAATTATTTTTATAGATTTTTTTTTATTTTTGTGTCTCTTTCAGTGAAAGTATTCTAACATTTGTTCAATCATGAAAGAGAAAGATGGGCTAGTAAAGAAAGAAACTATGGTTAGCGCAATAATTCCCATGGATTAATTTTTATTTTATATTCAAAATGACGACAAAATCCAAACTTTGAATAACTATAGAACAAGGGTGTCAAACCCACCTCGTCGTGTTGCCGTCATGTGACGTTTCACAATGCTTTTTCCCTTTGCGGAACTTTCCCTGTGCACGATGCACCCAGCCCAGGAGGCGTCAATTTGACATCACTCCTTTAGAGAAAACCCCTGAAATTATCTGAGGATAGGTACAGCCCTGGAGCCACAAATTGTTCTCCCCTGTTGTTGAGGAAAAAGTGCTAATGTTTATGCGCTCTTGTACAAAATGTTTGGGAGCCAGGCTGTATACCCACAATTTCTGTGTATTTCCTGATAGTCGCTTTCTTGGCAGCAAAAAGTACCAGGCCTAACATTATTTCTGCCATAAATGTATTTATTGGAGGAAAAAATATTGTGGAACAGCCACTATTACTACCTTGCTGGTAATTTTGACAGGTACCATAAGTAGGCTATTGTTAGTGAGGAAGAAAAGGACCCAGTATTTGCTTTGGATTTTATCACTGATGGGATAAAAGGTCGAGAGAGTTGCCTCATAGATGAAATAAAGTATGAAATGGTCCAACATGCTCATACAGCACCAAAGCAGCTCTTAAATTGGTTTAGACAAAAGAAACCAAAAGTTTAAAAAAATGATTCCTACCCTTTTTGTGATGACAAAGATTATGCAAGTCCCAAGAAAGCAGTTCTATGTTCTCATCTTCTTGGAGAGGAAGGGCAGTTGGGATGAGTTTTAATTTGGCAGATGTAACGCAAAGTACTTCAAGGCCAAGTGAAATCCGAGACAACACCTTGGTGTTATCTCTCCTATCTACCCTCTGTGAACCCTAAGCTGAGAGAAATCAGAAAGATTGAAGAGGAAAGAATTTTAATATGGATTCCCCCAGTTTCTTTCAGGCAGGTTATTACTGTGCTACTCTATACTTGTTTCTTTCGCGTGTTCTTCTATACATTATTGGTGGTTTTATTGCATTTGGTCTAGCAGTGGTATTCTTTTAGACCAGGGGGTGGGGAAATGTTAGGGGTATCTCCGTTGGGAGACAGAAAGTAGTGCAGCGGAATGTTGCAACTAGAGAGAAAGTGTGTTGCTAGTATAAACATATGAAGAGAGTTTCAGACACTGCTAGTAAAAACAAGTAGCTTTACTACTGATAAATTGCTTCACAGGCAGTCATAGTAGATAGTAGATATTAGTCCAAACACAATTCAAAGAACAAATAATAGCTTACAGTCGCAGTTCACATTCCAGTCATCAAGCATAGGACAAGCAGAGAGAGAGAGAGTGAGCTCTCTTGACTCCTTCTTATAGTAAAGTTAATTACAGTGTTAAGTACATCCACTCATTTAAAGCAACAACGACCATTTGTTGTTGTATTCAGTGGGGTTTATGTTTGTGTCTGTATTGACCGCAGGGGTCCCCAAACTTGGAAACTTTATAAGACTTGTGGACTTCAACTCCCAGAATTCTCCAGCCAGCAGAGCTTGTGAACTTCAGATCCCAGAAGTCCACAGGCCTTAAAGTTGCCAAGTTTGAAGACCTCTGATCGACCGTATGTCTTTCTATCTATGTTTATCGAATCTAATTAATAATATAATATAAACATAAAATATAATAATATAATATAAACATAAAATATAATAATATAA